AATGAAAAGAAGTCTCTTCCTTGCGGATAAATATCTTGTCCCTTAAACATTTTCTTGCATTTCTTATGGAATTTCCTACATCCGATCTCCTAAAGGTATCGAGCCCAAGGGCCACCTTAATTCGAGTTCGAATAATCACTATCACTCGAGGACTGCTGTCCGAAAACAAACTCGGACGGTCTGGGCAATCGGAGCTCGGGGGTACAAGACCTATTAGGCATCGCCCGAATTTTAAAGGCTACGGCCATCCCCACTTGGGGACTATTATCTTAGGCAGTCCATATAACTCGGGGGTGATAAGCCCACTGGGCAACACCCGAACTAACAAGGATATGACCATATTAAAATGGCTCGGAGACGTCCGAGACCCGTAACAAAAATAACAAAGCCTTAAAATTTCTTAAGCGATTCTAAAGGCTACCCTCGGCAAACTATAATCTAAGTACATTGGGGAAAAATTTTCGGTCACACCGAATCCCCATGATGCCTTATACAAAATAATGTTAAAGGCAAAGCTTGTTCGAACCTCCGAACATAACGTAACTGTTTCGTGCTAAGGCATTTTAATCTTTGCAAATATAAATAATAAAGCAAAGGAAAAACTCAAAAATTGCTGAAAGGAAAAAAGCTTTATATACATATCAAAAGATTTTTACGAGGGCCAAAACGGCCTCGATACAAATTTCTACAAAGGCCAAACGCCCTCAACAAAAAAAAGAAAAATACACGAGTACAAAGATACAAAAATAAAGAAAAAATATACAAGGCATTTAAATGGCCTGGTCTTCACTGGAGCTCGCCTCACCACCAGGACCTTCGGGGCCTCCTCCACCATCAGACTCGTCAAATCCTCGGAATCTTCATCATTCTCGGGATAAGCCAGCTTCTTGGCCTCGGCTTCGAGCACCTTGGCACTCTCAATTTTGGCCAACAAGTCGAAACCCCAAGCATGAATTTCCTCAAGGGCCTCCCTTCGGGATTGTCGCTTCGTGTTCTCGATGATAGCCTTTGCTCGATCCTGGGACGCCTCGGCATCGACTTTATATTGGGCCACCATCTCTTAGGCATCGGCTTTAACCACCTCAGCCACCACCTTGGACGTCTCATGCTCTTTGGCCAGAGTTCCTCGATCGAGGACGGCCGAACTTAGCTGAGACTGGAGCTCCTCAATCTTTTTGGCCTGCACCAAGGCCTTTTCCTTTGCAGTACGAAGCTGGACCTCGGCCGAATCTAATTGTGCCCGGGCTATTTCTTTTTCCGAGGCCAATCGGTCCATTTTGCTTTTCCATGCTCCGCCCTCAGCCTTTAGCACATCCATCTCTGCCCGAAGCTGATCGATCCGATCGAGATTCTGCTAGACCTGCGGGTTCAGAGCATTAGTCACCGAGTCTAGCTCATTGTCACTAACCTCAAAGACTTTTACCTTTTCCACAAGGTCGGCATGCTCCTTCTGAGCCGCCTCTAGCTCAGCTTGGAGGTTCTTAATCTCCCCTCACGTTGCTCATTGAGAAGTTTGTAAGAATCCCTCTTCAGTGAGCCCTCGGATCTCGTCCTCATACTGGTTTAGCTCTTCCCGATATTGGAGAAAAGTCTCGTGATGAAGCACCGAGGCCTACAATCACAAAGAAAAAAAGTTATGATTATCTACAAATTAATCTAAGAAAAGATTAGAAGTCATCACGAGGTATATGAAGTTACCCGGTTTGACGCCTGTTGTGCTTCGTTGAACAGGAAGGGCGCGTCCACCTCCTCATCTTGGCTTGGTCCTCCTCGGTCACCAAGAATCGAAGGTAACTGGCCACTCCTACGGGGGCAGAGAGAATCGGGCATCTTCCGGAATGGACATGATGATCGACCGCTTTCGATCAGGATTCACACTCAGAGCTGGAAACCGGTTGACTAGCTTCGGAATTGAGGAAAGCCCGCTTGTTCCCCAGGATGGACTCTTTCTTGGCACCGGTAAGTCACCCAACCCGGTGACGTCCTCTGTGGCGGTAGAATCTACGCCAGCAAAAAAGTTGTGAAAGGGGTCTGCCGCCCCTTGGGGCCCCTCGGTGGGACGTCGTTTCACAATTCGAGCCTCGTTAAACATGGAATCAGTGAAGAAGGTGATTAAGAGAGGTCTATCACACCGAGTACGTCCTTTCGGGCATTGCCCACTGCCCGGGAAGCACCGGCCACAGCCTCTTTGTCGGCCCACCTAACTTGAGGCAAAACTCCCTCGCCTCCCTCTGGTTCGGAAGCCTCGACCACGACCTTCCTGAGTTGAGGCAATTTAGTTTCACCTCTCACTGGTTCAGAGGCCCCTTGCCCCTCAAGCTGCGACGGCTCTCGGGCCACCAAGTGAAACTCTTCTTCTTCTTCGAACTCGTCCCTCAGCTGGTGGAGTGAGTCCGATGGGAGCGCTCAGGCGCTGGTGCTTTCTTTGGATCTGTGCACCAACCTCCTCCTTGTTTTTTTTTCTTTGAGTTCGGAGAACTCGGAACCCTTTTTCTCTTCTTCTCCTCACCCTGTCTTGGAGCAGGGGACTCGGTGGGGCAATCCTCGTCACCGGATGGAGGCCTCATTGTGACGTCGTTGGATAAATCTACAAAGGGAAACGAAACAGATAAGAACCCATCAGTATAAAAAAAGACACAAGTGTTATTCACTGAAGAAAGAAATCTCACCGTGAGAACGGGCCTCTCACCGGCCCTGCGAGAGTTTGCGCCATGCGCGCTCGGAATATGGCTTTTGTGACACGATAGCCTCGACCAACTCCTTGAGTCGAGCGACTGCATTCGGGACAAGAGGGACAACTGCACCACCACCATGCACCGATAAGAAGGAAGGAAAAAAGGGTAAAATGAAATTTTGAAAAAATAAAGTGTTACTTACGTTTTGTGTTCCACTTCTGGGGGAATAACATGTACTCGGCTGGGATCAGGTCCGAGGTCCTCACTTGGACAAAACAGCATAGCCATCCTCGATCCTGATACTCGAGAACGGGGCCTACTAGCCCGACGTGCGAGCTTGATCAGTCCCCCCCACCCCGAAAGAGTCGGGGACTATATAGGCGCATAAGGTGGTCAACGGTGAACGAGCATCCATCAATATTGCTCGCGAAGAACCGAAGAAGGATGACGATCCTCTAGAATGAAGGGTGAATCTGACCTAGAGACACCACGTACCTTTTGCAGAAGTCGATGATGAACGGGTCCAAAGGGGCCAGAGTAAAGGGATAAGTGTAAACACTTAAGTACCCCTCGACGTGGGTGGTGATATCTTCATCGGGCCCGGGAAACACCACGTCCTTGCCAACTAAGTCGCAAAACTTTTTGTTTATGGGGAGAATATCTTCAGTGATCGAGTAGATGTACCTCGAGACCTTCTCACACCGGCCCGGTACGGATGAAGGTTTTTCAACCTTAAAATCGGGGATTACCGAGCATCCACCAGGGATGAACGTGATGAGAAGGGGTTCCGCCGTTGTTCCTCAATGGAAATACGTGGAACAGTCTCCTCGAGGTCGGTCGTGATATAGAAGTAGTTTTTTTTTGGGAAACGGTTTTTGAAGTCTTCGCCATTTCTTTTAGAACAGAGGAAAAAATGAAGAAGATGAAGTTAGAGGAGTACGCTTGATGATTTGGGGTGGAGACGAGCAAAATTCTTCACAAAGGATCTCAAGAAATCAGAGTATAAGTGCCAGAAATAGAGAAATTTCTAAGGAGCAAGAGTAGGGAGTTTGGAAGTAAAGTTTGAATGAATAAAAGAAGGGGGTACTTATAGTTTTCAAATGACGGTTCGCATCCAGGAGTTGCTGACCAGCAACTGACGAGCATTTAATGCCATTAAAACTTGACTGACGCGACGTTTCGTTTATTATGTCATTTCTGTCGCATGATTTCGAGGTGAGGATCAGGGGCTCATGTCGTTTCGCATCGCCTACTCTCCGAAAAATGAGGGGACTATCTGTATACGGTAGGAATCGAGCTCGTCTACGACATGATAGATCGGGCTCGGAACATGAGGGAGTGTAGATCGACCCCGGTCCCACCAGGCCTGAACCCGAGATCAGAATATCCGTCCTCGAAGAGCATTGAGTCCATGATCCCGGAATCGACCCTGAACCGAACGAGCTCGAGGAAACATCGCTAGTGTAACCAACAGAAGACCGAAATAACAGAAGGCCGAAATATCCGTGACCGGTCGGATATTGCGGCAGTAATCTCGGCACGTATCAATAAGGAACCGGCAAATCAGCAAATCAGGAGATTTTTACCTTTTATAGAATTGTACGTAAAGTAGGACTCCCCTGCAATATAAAGGGGGTCTGATTACTTGCAAAACACATTGTAACACGCATTCCAAAACAATACATTATTTTTCTCTTTAAGCTCTTATTCATTTGTGCCTTGTTATCGATCAAAGTTCATCCAGTTCGAGGGTGTTCAACCTCCCAAGGCTGTAACTGTTCAATTTGAGTGGTTTGAATTTACTTTATCATCATTTATTTCAATTGCAATTTAATTCACCGCTTTGTGTCAAGTTAATTCACTTATCCTTAAAACCACTATAAATTCAATTGTTATCCGATTTTGAGGGTAAATACTATGTTACTATCACACGAAAAGAATACGGTGACTGCTAAGGAGCTAGCTTAGGATTTGGCCAACGAATATCAAGTCCAACGCTCTTGTTTTTAATTAGTAATTCAAGTTAATTCAACTCCCCGTCTTCTCTTGTCTCCAGCGGCGGCAAATGCTGCGCTAACGTGGAGTAAGCAACGAACCTGATTAATTTATATAGACATCATTGGTAAATTAAATGATGAATTTTAGTAAAAGAAACTATATATTATGTTGTACAAAGACTAGGAAATTTCAGTGTAAAGTAATATATTCATCGCAAAAATTATTAATTAATACGATGATCAAGTATTGGAACCAGGTATTAATAAATTATCATATTGCAACGACCAGTGAACCAGGTAGTTAACACCTTAGGTCAAATACACCAAATCACAAGAATAGTATAAATATATTATTAGCAATCAGCAGGGTTACACGAGGAAGTTTATATGAGAATACAGCTTGACATACAAGGAAAATCAACAAGAAACACAGAGAAAGCAATTTAATATATGTGATAACTGACTCTTCCTATCACTGCCTTCGTTATATCTATAGGCAATAATCAAACTAAAAGATTGGTCAAATAATAAAACAAGCTGATTCTCATCCTTGGGAACACTTTCAGGGGTTTTGATTTTGGGTATAGATATAGTCAAGATGAGCAGCCAAAGTCCTCCTTTCCAAACATTCTTCTTCCTTGACTCCTTTGCAGCTCTCTTCCTTACCAACTTGTTTTGGTTCAACAACATCCTGCTATAAATTCAAAAAGAAAAAGAAAAAAGAACAAAATATCCCATTTGTAAGTATAGCAGGTTTAAGAAACTTAATAAACATGAGGCAAAAACAATAGAGTTTCTCCAAGACAATAGTGCCATTAAATGATTAAAAATGTATTTATTCTCTTTAACAACTTAAACTTTTAGATGAGATAATCATGCAATTCAACAATCAGACTACCGAGTGTAACACTTTAAGTACCTGGTTTTGAATATTATTGCTGAGGGTGGCCTCATGAAAAGTTGGCTCAGGGCGAGCAGCATAGGATAGGGCAACAGAGAGGAGAAGGATAATGAAGAAAAAGCTGGCAGAAGCTTTAGACATGGTTGTTTAGCTAGTAGATGCTTAATTAGACTCGGGGAATGTTTTCTTTAGCTCTATGACTCTGTGTTGTGTGTGGTGGCTTGAATTTATAATGAAAATTAGGAGAGATCGAATGTTAATACCGATGTTTTGAGTGTGAACTAGGGTGAGTAAAAGGGCGACTTTTAACAGATACTGATGTCAGGGAATCAGGAAATTGTATCTTAAGTGGACTAGGATGAATGTAACAACAAGTTTTTCAGAAATAAACAAATGGCCAGATAAAGATAGGAAAAGGTTATTTGGACGGAAAGTTGATGTCCTGAGGATGAAGTAGAACTACGTACTAAAATCCTCAAAGGGATAGTGATTAAGGGCAACCACAGGAATTTAATGAAAGATAAGTTTTACTGGTACGTAGATAAATGGGCCAAGTTGTATAGAGTATTTTTGAGTAATCCGATTTACACTTTTGTTAACCTAAGATAATCAGGGATCTTGAAGCTTCTACTGGCCCTATTTCTCTTGCCTTCGCCTGTGGGTTTAATTTAGCATTTTCCGCAATAAAGCATATATTACTCCACATTCTAGAACAACCAAGAAAGTTTTCTTCATTAATGTTCTTCTTTTTGTTTCAGGTAATGGGAATTTATTAAGTCTTTTTATATGATTATTTGTGGTGCCCTTTGTCGTACGTAGTCCTAATCGGATAGAGAAATATGGGACATGGAATTTATTACAAACTTGCAAGAACAACTTGTTGTGGCTCAGAGAACTTTGAAACGCTAGTGAGGTTGCAGAATAGCCGTTTAAGTTGAAGAATCTATCTAGTCCGACTTGACAATTTTGTTTCACATAATTAATGGTGAACAAATAATTCTTAGAGTACATATTTATTGGGGATTAGCCCAATTTCCTGTCTGTCACTTGATAATCACGGCCCCATCTGATATGATACTTTCACTTCAAAATATAAATGATCAATTGGCTTATCATCTCGAGCAGTTTTCTTTCTTAACGGCAAAACAATCTAAATAGATCAAACTCACATAAATTTGTATAGAACTAACCCCAAATTAAGTAGCAAATCATTCAGTAGTTACAGCTTTTATTTTACTACTAGTTCGCAACATGACAATGTTCAAATCATACAAAAAAAAAAAAGGTTAAGTGCATGGGAGAGGGGCTAGCTTTAGCATTTGGCCAATTTTGCAAAAGATGGTGATGGAATATGGATGCAAGAAATGTTAGAAAATAACGGGGTGAAATAATCTGGCTTACATAGCATAATTACTGTTTTTAAGGAATTTAAGCTTGGAATTAACAGACTCATTCTAGTTTCTCTCCAAAATATTCTTTAAATTAAAATATTCAAACTATATAAAATAAAGGAGTGCTTTAAACACTTCTTTCTTTTTTTTATTTTTCCAAGGAAGGACAAAACATTCTCTTCTCAAATGGAGTACTAACTAAATCCAACAATAAATACACAAGTCCATCACGCTCCCTTTATTAATTCAAGTTGCTTCAACCCAATCCACGGTCTTATCTGTTCTTTGCGACCACAAAGGCTGCGTTAACGCGGACTAAGCAATAGGTGTAATTAATTTAAGACAAAAATTATTATTCTAATGATCACCATATGACAAAAACCTCTGACTACAGTGGCAGTACAACTTGGGGTGTGTTTGGTATAACGAAAAATATTTTTCAAGAAAATATTATCTTGGAAAACAATTAGTAATTTTATTTATTTTTCGGTGTTTGATACGCAAATTAAGGAAATAAATTCTCAAGAGTATCCATAAATAATTTAGATATAATAAACATGAAGCCACAAACTTTCAAAACCGCGAACTTTCGAACCCGTAAACTTACAAACACATAAACCTCAGAACTCATAACTTTGAAACTTGTAAAATTTCGAACCTGTAAACCGAAAAATAAAAAAACTAAAACTGAAAATTTATAGAAAAAAATATTTTTTTTTCCCGGCGAGGGGGGGGGGGTTTAGGGGCGATGGGCGGGGGTGCAGAAATAAAAAAAACAGAAATTTGAAATTACAAAAAAAAAAAGTTAAAAAAATATTTTTTTAAAGGCGCCAGGAACGGGGGTGCAGAAAAAAAATAAAAAATAGAAAATTGAAATTACAAAAAAAACATTAAAAAAATTAAATTTTTCTCCGGGGGGGGGGGGGGGGGGGGGGGCAGTGGCGGGTGGGTGATGTAGTAAAAATGAAAAACAGAAATTAAAAATTATAGAAAAAAGCAAAAAAAAAAAACTTCTTTTTGGTGCGGGGTGGGGTGGCCGGTGGGTGGTGCAAAAATTTGAAATTACATTAAAAAAGTAAAAAAATCGGGGGGGGGGTTAGGGGTAGCAGGTTGGGTGGTGACGCAAAATAAACTGAAATTTGAAAAAAAAAAAGAGGGGGTGGGTGAGTAGGTGTGGGATGTGGGGTTGGGTGGGTTGTGGGGGTGTGGGGTGGGTTGGTTTGGATGGGGAATAGGTGGGGAAGGTTGAGAAGGAGTTTTGGAAAATGTTTTCCCTTCTTTTGATAAGAAAAACATTTAATGAGTTCTTAAGGAAAATGTTTTACAAAACATTTAAGCTAACCATACATGGTAAAATTGGAAAACATTTTCCGCCATCGTACCAAACACACCCTTTGATGTAAATGGTTATGAATATTCACAAAATACGCTAACTAAATTGACGAACATATGTTAGGAGCGAAAAAGCTATTAACTAATAACTACTTAGTTATAGATTTGGAGGAAAGGAATGTTGAGCAATAACTTAATTACCAAAGTTGACCAAACGCGGAAGGCCATCTAAAAGTCATATTCATATATACTTTAGAGAAATGGGATCACTAAACCAAAGTGAAAAGAATGTTAATGTTTGAAAGGCAAATCTTCGAGCAGTCAAAAGCTCTCCCGTTAAGCGCTTTCGGCTGCTAAAGCACAAATGCCTTCCTCCCTTTTTGTTTATTTTTCTTCGTTAAGCAAACGATGTGTTTTATGCTGCATGCCAAAGAAAGAAAGAAAGAAAGAAAGATAAAAAAGGAATTTTTAAAAGAAAAGGGTTTTTACCAAGATCTTCTTAGATTGTGATTCAGCGTTTCCTGACAACATTTAGAACACTTTGTGAAGTTAGACTTTCAGTATTCGAACAAACGCATGTATCCAAGAATCCAATTGAAGGGTCCATTGCTGATTTTCGCATTGATTGAAGTGTGTTAACTGCTTAGTTGCAACAGGAGAATGACTTATGTGCACTAGTGCTTATCTCTGTTTTAAAAGGTAGAATTGGGACTCGCCCCAAGGCGGAACACTCATAAAACGCCCCTGGGCTTATGTGTGGAGCTTAGTTCCGTGAGACTTACGCCCCGGACACGCCCAACGCCCAGCATACTGGCTCTTCTAATAGAACTTTATGCAATTGTATGTAACTAACCTTGTAAATTCTCAAATTTTCTTAATAAATCGTTGACTAATCAAAATTACTTTTTTCTTAATCATAAATCATTAAGTTGAGAGTATTTCATGTCATAATTAAAATATAAATTATTGCACGTTATCTACTAAGACTGCTGTGATAGTTAATTTTAAATAAATCTTTCATTTAAAAAGTATTTATTTATTAACTTTTGTTATGTCTTTACTAGTATATAATAGTCTATAAATTTTTTTTATAATTATTTTTCTAAATATTATTTTGTTCATGTTTACGAGATACAATACTTATTAATTTAATAGCTCAGTATTAGCTAGTAACTATTTATAAATAATTAGTTATCATGATATTGAATGGTGAATTATCTTTATTAACTTGTTGAAAAATAAAAATAAATGATGCTGGAGAATCATATTTAAATTGTGAATTATGTTTTTATATAAATTCTCTTTCAAATACAAAACATATTAAATAAAAGGAGTATTTTAAGAAAAATATCAAATTATAATATCGAAATTCTTTCAAGATTCATTACTCCTTAAAGAGATACATATAAGATTTCGTATCGAATACATTACTTTTGATGTTTGAGTGTAACGATGTTGCAGCTAATTTGCATATTATGATATATGTCATACTTTTCACATTATTCATAGTTGAATTATAATTTATAATATTTTAAATAGATTATTTGTTATAATTTTGTAATTTTAATGAAATTTTTATAATTATTTTTTATTTTATACTATCTTAAAATTCTTGAAATTAGTAAAATTTAAATATCCTTAGGACTTACGCCCCATGTCTCAGGGCTTACGCCTCGCCTCGTCAGAGGTAAAACGCCTCGCCTGACGCCCCCGCCTTTTAAAACATTGGTGCTTATATTGTCAAACCAAACAATTTGACCTTAAATATTCCAAATTAAAGTGATAATACATACAGCATACTTTAATGATGGTTAAATGATAAAGCTTATATTTAACACAAGCATTCATTCATTCGGTTTAAACACCGATTGCATGTAAAGTTTTAATTTCTATATCGATTGCGGATTGGCTATTGTAAAATTTGAACATTTGAGACTGTGAATCCAATTCTCACAACTAGAAATTAAGCCTATGGCAACCCTTTCAAATCCGTAGCAATAGATACAGCAACCGTCCCTGTAGGGCTAATGGGACGGTTTGGGAGGTGTTCCAAGATTCAGCATTACAATAGGTCAACTGGAACAATTAATTGTAACGGTTTCAAAACCGTCTCCGTATAGGGCTATACATTGGAAACAAGAATTTTCAAATATGTTTCCAATTCTTCTGCCACATTTAATGTAGTCTCTCTATTACCATGAATTCTAACACATTGAAGTTACTCCCAGATCGTAGTTTAGTAGTTTGGTCAGATGAGTTTGTATGGTTAGTTCATTCATATCAAGCAAATAAGAAATAGTACAAATTTATCTTTGGTCGTCAAAATTACCACAGAAATTCCAATGATGATGATTTGAACACAATTCCTTTGCCTCCTAACGGTCAAACCAGATATTGGTATGTATAGTAGAAGTGATTGTATTATCCTGGTAATCATTTGATGTTTGACAATCAACTATATTCCTTCTTTTAGAACAATTTTGTCGTAAAGCATCTTTCTTTTTGTTTTTCATCATATTCTTTTCTGAAACTCTGCAGATAGGCTCAATTATAAATGATTTTTTGTGCCTGTTGGTCTTGCATCAATTAATGTACAATTGACATTTTTTATGCCTATATTCAAAGTGAGCCCAGCGAATAAATGAAAGGTTCAAAGTAAAATAAAGAGGTGGATTGTTTATGTTCTAACAGAGCAGGATTTTGGATCATAGACCTTTGTGCACCTTGTCATCATGAAAGCCACTAAAATGTTTGCAGTTTGGAAGAAATTTGTGCCCCATATCAAGAATTGGACTTCACATGTAAAAATGTGATAGGAATAATTGTATGGTTGGTAAGGTAAAGGCTGACAAAACTAATGTTGATTAGCTGGTTTTTCCAGATGATGAGCCACACTTGAACAGATCAGACATA